AGCTGGGCCATGGTAGTGCAGGAGGAAGAAGGACCAGGAACACTGTGTGACTTTGGGCAAGTCAATGAACCTATCTGAAACACAGTTTCCCCAACTGTAAAATGGGGCCAATCTGTCCCCACCAGACTGTTGCTCTGAGGGGCACAGTGTGAGTCCCTGGCAATGGGAAAGGGGCTGGGAGGAGGTATCACTTCTCATCCCCCCACAACTGTAGCCCTTGCTGTCCCCATTCCTTTGAGACCCCACAGCCCTTGTCTGTGCCAACTTTGATGTTCATTAAACATGGTCTCATTACATTAAAAAAAGTGTGTATATTTATCTCCCCCACCATCGTCCCAGACCACTGAGCAGGGCCTTTGGGAAGGGCCACATTGAGATCCAAGGGACCTTGACTATTTCTCCCCCCTCCATAAATTATAAGGCCTCTTCCTACTACAACCCTAAACAAACAAATCATTTAGAAGTGGCCATAAGAGCAGATTTTTTAATTTAAAAAAAGTCTTTATTTGAAGGCTAAACTAAAATCCACAGGAAATTGTTAACAGTGCATGTTTACATTTTGTCCTTAATCAGACACATTTGAATACCTTCCTACCATATGATCCAACAAGTCCATTTCTGAGTATTTATCCAAAGGAAATGAAAACACTAACTCGAAAAGATATCTGCACCCCATGTTCATTGCAGCATTATTTACAGTAGTTAAGACGTGGAAGCAGCTGAAATGTCCATTGAAGGATGAATGGATATATATGAATACACAGAATTGAATACTATTCAACGATAAAAAAGAAGGAAATCTTGCCATTTGCAACAACTTGGATGGGCCTTGAGGACATTATGTTAAGTGAAATAAGTCAGACAGAGAAAGACAAACTGTATGATTTCACTTATATGTGGAATCTAAAAGAACAACAAAACTGAAGTCATAGATAGAAAGAACAGATTGGCGGTTCCAAAGGTGAGGGGTCGGGGGTGGGCAAAATGGGTGAAGGTCATCAAAAGATACAAACTTCCAAATATAAATAACTCATGAGGATGTAATGTACAGCATGATGAATGCAGTTAATAATACTGCATGTATATTTGAAAGTTGCTACGAAGAAACCTTAAAAGTTCTCATATAGAAAAAGAAATTGTTAAGTATGTGTGGTGATGGATATTAAGCAGACTTATTATGGTGATCATTTCACAATATATACAAATATCAAATCACTATATTGTACACCTAAAACTAATATATTATAACATTATAATTTTATATGTCAATTATAGATCAATTAAAAAAATCAAGAAAATTTACTTTCTTTTCATATAAGTACCTAAATGCCTCTTGACCTGCAGGGACTAAAATATTTACTATCTGGCCATTTGTATAAAAAGTTTACCAACCCTTGTTTTAAAGCATGAGTTTAAAAATGTCATTCACTTACGTAAAATTGTTAAATGAATTGCCAGTTATCCAAGCATTTCAGAGTACGTGCTTTGGGAGTGGAGATTCTAAGTGAAGACGGGAAAGTAGGAGAAGGTTGCATGCAGCTAGAACTGACTTTTCGCCCAACTCAAGACTCACTGTAACATGTAGAGTAAAACAAACATGACTATTTAGGAAATGGACAATAACTATTTTTCTCTTTTTCAGTAACAATTCATGCAGAAAGTACTGTTATATGCAATTCTACTTTAGATTATTTTTTCACAATTTTGGATGATGACTTTTATGGCAATAATATTCCTGTATATTAGAGTTATATTACTTGAATAATACATTAAATCCACTGTGTTCTATGTCTATTCAGTTTGTTTTTAACCATAATTGGGTGTTGTTAATGACATAACACATTCTCTGTTTTTTAAGTGTCTGTTGCAGAAAGGATCTGGCACTTCTCATTTATTTATTACACAAATATTTATTGAGCCTTATTTTGTATCATGCACCGTCTCAGCTACTGAGACAAATGTGGTAAATTAGACCCAAAGGGTGCCTGCTTTCATGGGTCTTGCATTCTTGCCCTCAGTGTATATAATAAAAATGGCTATCAAAGTCTTTAAAAAAAGAATTTACTGTGTGTAAAACAAAACTTTGTCTATATCAGAGGATAATTGACAGTGAATAAGACCACAAAAGTGAATCTAATTAAAAGAGGGACCAAATATGCACCATAAATAGGGGGAAAGTATTCAGTTAATACCTCAACTTAAAAAATAAAAAGAATTATGGGTATACATTTTCATTTAATTAGAATTTACTTATAATTTAAATGTGTCCCCAAACCTTAAAAAATGAATCAAAGGTTGCTTTCGATGGGTCTTAATTTTTCTAACAATGTTGTATGTTAGCATGAAACATCTTTTCTCTCTTATTCAACTTTTCAGAATGAACACAAAATAAGTCTGCATCGTTTTGGTTAAAATGTAGGTACTTATGTATAAATAGCCTGTCGAGTTTCTGGAATATATGCCTTAACATCTGATATTTGAATCATTTTCTCTTGAAGCATCTATTGTCATTATCCTTGCTCGTTTTCTTGTGAACTGGTCCTGCTCTTCCAGAACCACACTTTTCAGTGCTTTGTCTATGATTTGAGCAGGTCTCAAAGAATACTTTCCTGGATGTTGTTAAATTCAGCATCTTCATAAAATTTGGTATTCGACTTTATAATTGATATGCATTCTAATTGCATTATATTATTGTTTGGGTTAAGCCAAACCAGTTAAATATGACATTGACTCAATGAAGCAGAAATGAATACTAGTGACAAACAAGGAGAGGCTGTTTGAATGGTCACTAGTTAAATAGTTTGTTCATTTGTAACTATTTTAATTTTTTTGCTTCCCTATTGAACCTCATAACTCTGAAGATTTGAATAATAAACACTCAGCAAAAAGAATTCCCTGTAGTTTTGATTTATATACTCAATCCTGCTCTTATAGATACAAAAGAAAGCAAGATAATGAAGTCAGCTTTCTTCCAGAAAAACAAGAAACAGAGGTGTGAATGGCTTCTAAATTACTGAGCTGTCTAGAGTTTGCCTATGTTAATAATGATCTAAAAGAAATGAAAGCCATGTCTTAGTTTGGAAGCTTATATCCTTGAGCTGGAGGTAGAGAGTAATCCATAAACTCCAGTATTAGAATACAATCATAATTTCTCTCACCGCAAAAAGAATTAGATCACTAGCCCCACCCTTTCTCAGTTCTAGTTAAGAATGCCAATCCACAACTTGACTTGGCAGCAAAACCATCACAAAATGTTACACTTTCTAATGAAATAATGATAGTTAGCTAACCAGACACTAGATATTTACATAACTGAGAGGAAACGCCTTTCAATTTTCTTTCATAAAGATTTATACTGGTAGTCTTGAATGTAAAGCAGAAAAAGAAAATTTGAGTGGGTTCATCCAGAGACCGGAACCGCTGTTATTTCATGATGCTTTTGTAATTCACTCAGAACTTCCCAAATAAACTAGTTACTGTTAATAATTTACTTGAATACTTGCTCAGTAATTTCCGTTTGCAAGTGTGACATCCCTGCGTCTCTCCCTTTGTCTGTCTGGATCATGATTTTGTAAACAGCAGAACAAATGGAAGCTAATGCCTGCTAGGAAATCAAAGCTTTGAAAGGCCATGGCAGAAGTGGATGTAAGTTTCTCTCAGATGTCAGAGTTCTTCTGTGCTTTTCTTGCCTCTGTCCTAATTAAATTCCAAGTGAAGCTATTTGCCTCTCATGGGACATCTGCCTCCGAGCTGACAGAGTCCTTTTCTCCCTTAGGGGCAGAGGCTGCAGGAGGTTGGATCTCGACCTGTCTCCATCATGCCTCAAGGAGAACTAGAAGGAGAAAATAACATCCCTTATTTTAGTTCATGAAATGGATGTTATCTGAAAAATTATGTTTAGGAAAAATATGTTAAAATAATTTCAAGTTATAGAATCACTACAGTTTTTGAGCATACCTTTAGTTATGTGCTTAGTAGTATTTTATTCAAGGATCTTACATCTATTACTGCAAATTTAATAATTATATAAATTCCTTAATGACATCTAAGAACTATAAAAATGAACACTTAAGTATGTAATAAAACCTTATTAATAATACAAAAATAATTGATACAAAGCATCTTAATACAAATATATGAATTAAAAATAACTATAAAGTTATTTAAAAGTCTGTAAGTAAAAATTTACAAACTGTTGTCAAAAAACAGACTACATGACTTGGTTTAAATATATGTGAGAAAAAAAGTGTTGACACGTGAATGTTTTGTGCAAATAAATATAGAAGTGAGTTTAGCAACACCTGAAGCAATATTCCAAGTCTGGCTCCTTTGTGGTATTGTTTGTACTAGTCGTTTCCTTATTGTACATTTCTGAAACAAACAGTTTAATATGCCCACATTTTTAAACATTAATCAGCCTAAAGGAAAAAAGCATTGCTTGAAATGAAAAAAAAAAAAAAAATTCAACTCACGTGCCTATCGTGCCACTTAAAAGTTGTTGAACTCTAAACATGTCATTGAACTCCCCAGTCCTCAGTTTACTTTGTTCTCAGTTGAGGAGTTTGTAATCTAGAGTCATTAGTGTCACAATCTAGGATTTTTTGACTTCTGAATTGATGGGGTCTAAATTATTTGTTAATGAATATAGCAAATAAAAAATGTTTGTAATTCCCATCACTTTACACTATTACAGAGCATCTTCTACAATATGTGGAAAGTGGACATCAAATTGAATTTTCAAAAAAAGATATGCTAAGAGAAGGTTTTCACTGTCTTTCCACAATAACAGGTGATTGCCAGAGGCTGGACAAGGAGTCTAAGAGAATACCCAGCCACTCATTTTGCATCATGTTGCTCTTTAGTCTTTCTGAGAGCAGATGTATTTGATTAAAGGTATCAGTAGCTTCTCAAGAAAGAATACATGAACTAAGTCAGCGGTCATTTTCAAGGTTCTAGAACAAAAATTGTTCATGTCTAATTTTGTGATTACTTTTTTCTAGGACCCACCGATCTCAGCATGAAGAGGCAGTTGGCGACTAGCTCAGGATCCTCCAGCAGTTCAAGCTCCAGACCTCAGCTGAGTCCAACTGAAATCAATGCCGTGAGACAGCTCGTTGCAGGATATCGAGAATCAGCTGCATTTTTATTACGTTCTGCAGATGAACTGGAAAATCTTATTTTACAACAGAACTGAGTCAGATGACGATCCTATTCACTGAGGTCTAAGTTTGCAGTTTCCACTAATGACATTTTGATTTCCCAGCAGAGATGCTTCTGGTCTTACTGCACAGTCTTAAGAGAAATACTTCCATTATGCCACATTGTCCTTGATCCATAAAGTGATGTGTTAAGGTGCTTCAAAGGAACCCTGACCTCTGAAGTACTCGTGATACTTTAATGTATCAGCCTACTGCTTTTTGTTTTAGTGTGTCAGCATAAATATCTGGGGCAAAAAGGCTGTATATTCCTAATTCAAGGATAAAAGAAGAAGCTTGTGGTATAAAAAGTAGTTCAAGATCCAACTGAAATATTAGTGGAATTTGCTCCTGACTCGTTGGACTGAGAGCTGCAGTATCTGGCAAAAAAAGAGAAAAAAGCCAAAATTTCTTGTTGCTACAGGCTATAACAATGAAAAGGATCTTGTATTTTAAAAAAAAATATGTAATTTTTATAAAAAGAAAACTTGTTTTTCATTCGAAATTGTCATTTTTACTTTGGTAACTTTTTCATAGGTCCTAAGAGAAAACTGTTTTGAGAAACTACTGTAAGTACCTTTTCCACATCCCTTTGCCTTCTCCTCTTTCCAAATTCTTTCTACAAAAATAACACTTGATGCTGACAAAAAAAAAAAATCCTTGCCTACGTTCTTTAAATCGCCACATCAGGAACTACTTCCGAGAGAAGCCTGCATTTCTGTACTCATGCTGATCCTGAGCATGCCACTCAACACTGCATCTTTACATAATGGTTTTCATCCGAATTTTTTAATGTTAAAAAAGACATATCATTGAAAAAAAAATCACACCTTGGTTTCTTACAGCTGCTCACCCTGGATTGCTGCTGCTGTCTTACAGGCGTCCCTCTAGCAGCCACTGGATGCAGATAACTGAATGTTAAGAGGTTGCAAGTGACAATCTGAAAATTTGCACTCTTGTGTGTAGCTTTTTTTTTTCTCTCTTTCAGAAATAGTTTCCAAAAAGACCATTACCTCTCCTGATATGATTTGTATAATTTCCAGTTCTAGGCAAAAATGTAAAGAACTCTCAGTGGATGCAGCTGCAACTTACAATGAACTGTCCCCTCCTGTTCCCCACACTTTGCCCTTATTTCTTATTTTATAGTGTTGGGTACACATGAATGATGTTTTCTTTGTGCACTGAGGCAAGCCTATTTTTAAAACATTTAGGGAGAAGTATATCAGTTTAAGCTCCTTGTGCAATTTTTTTCTGTTGTTTAGCTTTGGTTGGATTCCAAATTCTTTGTGCATTCCTGAATTTGCCTTATTTCATGTAAATTTATGTCATTCAGTTTTTGATAATGAGTTTAAGGCATCAGTGATATTTCTTATCTACTTGTTACATATAGTTTTTCAAGTAATGACTGTGATTGTGACCAAGTAATGTGCACTTTTTCTTGTAACTGTGGACATTGCTATGCTTTTTTCTTCTAGTGTTTCTAGAATTACTGTTCCTTACAGTTACGTAAACAAAAAACAAAAACAAAAAAAAGAACTTTTGTGATACTGTTGGTGAATATAATGTGAAAATCTTATTGAAATATGAGTATTTTGGAAATACATAGATGCACAAACATCTTTTAAGGTGTGGATTTAGAGTTTGCCTATTTAAATGAAAATTCAAAAATTGAGGGCTGGTATAATTTTTTCTGTTTTGTTGGGTTTAATAAACAGATTTCTGTGTTAAAACAGTTGTGAAACCTTATAAACTTTCTGAGTGATATGATACTTAACTTTCAGCAGTTTGCTTTTAAAACATGAAATGTTATTTTGTATTTACCTTTAGCACAAAATTGACAGTCCAAACTTGTATCTAAAGAATATCCTAAGGTGTCCCAGAGACTCAACATTCACTGTAATAAATAATTTATTCCAGGAAGGGTAAAGTAAATTAGAAAAGCAAGGCTATTTCATTCGATTACTTACATCTGATTTAAGAATTTATTATCTTTTATTCCTCACTTTTACACGAGTAACCTGGCTCTTTTAGTCACTCTTGATTTAGCATTTTGGGAGAAACATATACCTGTTTTAAGTTCTTGTTTATGCTTTGGGTTTTGTTGTACTCGTATTTGAGGCTTTGACGTGGTTGCTATGTCACAAAATAACACTCCGGTTTGAGTTCAGCATAAGAAATCCTTAATAGTGATAATAAAGCAAATGGAGTAGAGAAGGTAAGTTCCACCAAGGAGCTCTTGTTTTCATGCCATTTTCATCTTTCATTATAACTCCCATGCCCACCCACCAAGGACCAAATTCCCAATGTCTTCTGCTTTTTGCACATTTATCTAAAAGAATGAGTGTACTGGGACTCCCATCCTTTTTGTGGGAGAGCTCAGAGGCTAAAATGCAATACTATTTTGTCTTTCCTTTCTTTTATGACTTGTACCTCAAAACACTCTAGTCCTTTTTCACACTCTGTCACAGGAGAATAAAGAGATTACATCCCCTTTATAAAGTGTTTTGGAGAAATTAAGTGCAGGTTCATATTCTCATTCAAATGAGGTGATAGAAAACTGTCAAACACAGATATCAAGTAGACGTTTCTGTCACTTCTGCCAGTCAGCTTTCCATACAACAGCAGTTTCTTGTCACATATGTGTTACTTTATCACACTGAGTAAGAAAACATGCCTTGAAATAACCACAGAGAATATAAACACAGGCAGTAACTGAATTTTCTTAAATTGTGTAGTTCAAGTAACAACACTTGGTACAAAGTGCATTCAGTCAAAAGGTTAGCCACCACTTGCTGATTACTAGACAAGGAAAGGCATTTTGTTTCCTTTACTTCTCACAGTAACCCTAGGAGAACTGGATGGTCACTGTCCATGTCACAAAGGAGGCTCACAAAGGTGAAGTGACTTGCCAGGAGCGCAGAACCAGAGCTGAAGCCATCGTTTGAACCCAGGCACTCCTGATGCCAGAGCCCCCCTCTGTCGATGGCTGTGGTCTGCAGCCTCCCAGATACTAAATAATCATATTCTGCACTGTGACTTGGAACCACGCCTTTATTAAAGTTTAGCAGTTTTATTTGTGTAGAAAAATAATATTAAAAATTCACTTGACATCAAATAAAGCATTTGATTAAACAGTGAGTTTTATCCTGCTTATAGAAGTTGAATTTTCTTTAAGTTATGTTCTCTACAAATATAAGGAGCAACAGTAAAATTCACCACTAATGAAAAATCAAATACACAAACCGTGAAGGGAAGGCAGTGACTTTTTAACCATGACGGGTGCCATAGTAAATCTAGTAAGGAAAGAGAAAAGAGATTATCCAGCTGAATCCATAAAGGTAAGTTCATTCACCTGAGATTTTAGTCTTCAACACTATACAGGTACAGATGCCATCCTGCTGTTGTAATTAATCCTGACACCATTAATACATAGATTCAAAGATTAATCTTTGTACGCCAAAAATATTTTCTAATTTCATATGGCCCAGGTTTTAATCTTTAGTTCATAGAAAAAGAAAATCCAAAAATAAAGCAGGTAAACATTAACAAATTGTTTATCTTTTAAAGTGTGTTTGGGATGCAGAAATTTGGTAAAGTAAGGATTGAGTGCAAGCTAATCTACAGGGGCTTTATGATATTTTTTTTCTTTTTGCATGTGTGAGGAAGATTGTCGCTGAGCTAACGTCTGTGCCAATCTTCCTCTGTTTTGTATGTGGGATGCCTCCACAGCATGGCCTGATAAGTGGAGTAGATCTGTGCCTGGGATCTGAACTAGCAAACCTGGGCCACCGAAGAGGAGAGCACAGCACTTTAACCACTTGGCCACAGGGCCAGCCCTCTACAATATTAATTCTGGTTCATCTCCTTTCTTGGAAAAATATATTTTGAAGGGAGATAAAACTCTCCCTACTCTACTAAGCTACTAGTAGAGTAATCTGTCTCTCATTTTAAGGTCAATCACATTCAACAATTTTCTTTACTTCTTTATTTCTTATTTTATTGATTACAAAAGAAATTTGGGGGGCCAGCTCCGTGGCTGAGTGATTAAGTTCACTGTGCTCTGCTGCAGTGGCCCAGGGTTCGGATCCTGGGTGCGGACATGGCACTGCTGGTCAAGCCACGTTGAGGCAGCGTCCCACATCCCAAAACCAGAAGGACGTGCAACTAAGATATACAACTGTGCACAGGGGGGGGTTTGGGGAGATAAAGCAGAAAAAAAAGGAAAAAAAAAGATTCGCAACAGTTGTTAGCCCAGGTGCCAATCTTTGAAAAAAAAAAAAGAAGACTGGCAACAGTTGTTGGCCCAGGTGCCAATCTTTAACAAAACAAAAAAGAAATTTGGGAAATACAAATCATCATCATCATCAGCCCAGCATTCATAGAGAACCATGAATCACACTTTATAATATATCTTTCAGTTTATCTAAACTGGTATATAAATATTTTTCTCTTTGATTTTAGTGTATATGGTGTTTCCTCATCTGCTTTCCTAACCTAACAATAGAGAATATTTTCCACATCATTAGGGAATCTTCTTAAGTAGTAATTTTAATGATTATGTTGTATTACCTTGTATGACTGTACCTGTATTAGTGTTCTATTGCTGCCATAACAAATTACCACAAACAGTACAAATTTATTACAAGCCTATAGGTTGGGAGTCTCACTGGGCTGGAATCTTGGTTTCCACAGGACCGTGTTTCTCTCTGGAGGCTCTGGGGAGCATCTGTCCCCTTGCCTACTCTAGCTTCTTGAGGCATTCCTTGACTGGTGGCATGTTCCTCAGTCTTCAAATCTCTCTAACTCTGACCTCTTCTCTGCTCCCCTTTTCCACATTTAGGGACCCTTGTGAGTACATTGGGCCCCCAAGAATAAAACAGAATAATCTCTTTATATTAAGGTCAGCTAATTAACAACCTTAATATCATCTCCAAACTTCATCCCTTAATTTGATGTAAAACAAAACATATTGACAGGTTCTGATGATTAAGATGTGAACATCTCTGGGGGCATTATTCTGCCTAGCACAGTACCTTAATTTCCTTTCTTTTTCTTTTGAATACTTCTCTGTACCCAGTTGTCTTTGTCCATTCACCTGGAGTAAAGAACCTAAGTCAGCAGCATGAACATTTTACAAATAATTGTCAGCTGCTATACCCACACTTTTTCTTCTGCATAAAGGGTATGGTCTTTTGGAAATTATTTTAATGGCATTCTTTCTCGAATGTCTCACATTCAAATTAAGTGTAATTAACAAATAAATATGGTAAAAGTACAACTAAATCTTTCAAGAGAAATAAAACTAAAATACCTCTGGACCTTTTCCTCCCTTTTGATTTCTTAGAAGGTGGTTCTGCCCAAGAAATTCCCTGAGATATGTTTGAGAAGTCTCCAACTTATTAGGCCAGAAGGGGTGCGCGAGGATCCAAAACTTAATTAAATTCTGTAAGCAATCCAACCACATTCGTAAAACTTCTAATGGGAATTACCAGTGGTGTTTTATTTACTCTGAACAATCAAGAGATATATTTAACATTAGATGTTATTAGATGACATATCATTTAAAAGGGAGGGTTTCGCAATAATCTATTGAATTTAGGATAATCAATTGAGTTTAAAAATTAAACCTTTTTGCCTCTCTTTCTTTGCTAGAACAACTACATTTTTACTTACATTTTAAAAATTTTATTTCCCCTCATTTACTATGTTCTTTTTTTTTCCTTTCAAAGGCTATCCACTGAATGAAGAGAAGATCAAAGATAATTCAGGACCATTTTTAATGCTGTGAGAGGAGAAATACAGTAAAAGCATAGACCACAGAGAGCAAATGCTATTACTAAAAGTGTGGGATTAGCACCAGTTTTTTTCTCTTGAAAGTTCTGATTTCTCATATTCTTTGTTTATTGGGGAATGGATCAGATGATGCTGCCCATGAGGAATGTCTTCTACTATTGAAGACACTCCATTGCAGTGACAGAACAAATGGCCAGAGAGTCCACAATGGATTATTTATTCTTGGTTCCTTTGCTGGTGGAAGGATTCCGAGGTCTTTCATAAGCTAAACCCCATGGAGTAGTAAGCCTCTTAGCTCATTTTAGTTTTCATTCATTAACCAGTGTGTATTCTTTGACCTACTATGTGCTGGATATTGTACTCTGATACAGAAAAACTACTACTCCTGTTTCAATGAGTCACATGTAGAAGATGAGAGGGACAGAGGTACAGATAGCCATAAGACAAAAGGATAAAGAGTAACAGTGCAACATGTAATGATTGATAGAAACATGCCAGAAGGGTCAGAGGAGGTCACAGACTCTGCCTTGTGGGTAGAGAGGTGGCCTGGGTCCAGCTGGTCACAAAGACTGGAGCTGTGGGGAATACCTAGCAAAATTGTTGAGTGTGTTTTGGGAGGATAGAAGAAGAAAGAAAGATGTGTCAGTGAAGGGGTTTTCAACTACAGAAGACAACCAAAGGAGAGGACAGGGGAGACATGGAATAGCATGGTGTGCACAGTAACTCAAGAAGTTTAGCGTTGCTAGAGGGCAGAGTTTGGGAGAGAAGAGAGTCCTGCAGAGGAGGAAGGGAGCCCTGCCATGCAGGGTCTGACCCGCCATGCTAAGGAGCTGGGCTGTGTCCTGCAGAGGATGAAGAGGCACTGGCATATTAGTGGAGTGGTAAGTGCGTGTTGGCTCCTCTTTCGGCTATGTGCGTGAATTTCTGGGGAAGGAGA